GGCTGCACATCAGCATTTTCATTCGGGAAGGAGCTGGCTCTGCCCTTGCCCACAGCTCCACTATCCAAGGGCAAGTCGGGGTTGTGGTTCTCCTTAATCCGGGCGTTACTGGATCATCCAAATTTGACCAGATCAAGAGAGGCCACATCACTGCATTTCTGACAAATTACCTCCAGCACTCAGGGTTTATGTAAGCACATGTGTTTAAGCCTGGCTTTGCACCAGCTGCAGGAGGACTTGTGTAAAGTGAGAGTGGTACAACCAGACGAAGACCCTGGCCGGACAGCACACCACCAAGCAGGACCACATCGGACCAGGTTTATACCAGGTCAGCCCTTCGCTTTATGTGGCTGCAGCTTTTCTGAGCCCTAAAGGTGGATTTACAGCATCGGCAAACCCCAGCCAAGGGGAAATTCTTGCTTTAACCTCCAATCTCTGTTTTAACCTTCAGACTACTTCCCACCCTGCATCTACCAGCCCTAGAGCTGAACAAGCTCTGGGTGAATGGGAACACAGATGAGCTGGTGCTCAGCGTCCTTCTGTTGTATTCTTTTTTCTTTTCTTTTTCTTTTTTTTTTTTTTTTTTGCATTGAAAAGTCGTAGTTTTGCTGATTATTTCCCAGCTTTCTTACTGAGAACAGCATCGCCTGGTCTTTTATTTTGACAGATGAATGCAAGTAAAGATCCCATAAAATAAAGTGCTCCACAAGGTGTTTCAGCTCATTTTCCAGACGATCACTGTAACATTTGACCTGGAAAGCCATGTCCAGCTGAAGGTCCAGTCAGCTCAACATGTCTCCAGCTGTGGCGAGGGGTAGTAATGTAGGACAAGGTGTAAAATGGGGTGTGTGGATGTTATCCCAGGCCCAGCAGACCCTTGCTGCACCTTGCAAGTGATATAACAGCCCACTAGCACTGCACCCATCATGGGGACACCTCCACAGTCAGCCTCTGGGCTTTGCTGGGTCATTTTTCCTCTTTGCGTTATCATCGAATCATAGAATGGTTTGGGTTGGAAGCGACCTCTAAAGTGCAACCTCCCTGCCAAAAGCAGGGACATCTTCAACCAGATCAAGTTGCTCAGAGCCCCGTCCAACCTGACCTTGGGTGTTGCCAGGGATGAGGCATCTACCACCTCTCTGGGCAAACTGGGCCAGCATCTCACCACCCATTCATCGTATACAATTTCTTCCTTATATCCAGTCTGAATCTCCCCTCTTTTAGTTTAAAGCCATCCCCCCTTGTCCTATCGCTACAGGCCCTGCTAAAAAGTCTGTCCCCATCTTTCTTCTAAGCCCCCTTTAAGCACTGAAAGGATGCAATCAGGTCTCCCCGCAGCCTCCTCCTCTCCAGGCTGAACACCCCCAGCTCTCTCAGCCTGTCCTCATAGCAGAGCTGTTCCAGCCCTCGGATCATTTTTGTGGCCCTTATGTATTTTGGAAAGCTGCTGTGAAGAGTGTTCATTTAGGGGTACAGTATTTCCATCCTCTGCTTTCAGCTTTCAGGAGGAGCAATGGTTTGTAGCCTCTGTATCTCACAAGTGGAAATCCTGAGAAACAGCAAGGTTAAATGACCTGGTCACATCTCATGGCCCCGTGAGCGGGGACAAGAACCCAGATCTTAATTCAAGGGACATCATCTACACTACCATTTGGCTTCACGGTTTTAACCACCAGGATGTGGTATGTACCTCATGGAACAAGGTGGAAACATCTGCAAAACATCTCTTAAATGCAGAGTCCTCTGGTGTGCCCACATGGCTTGTTGCTACTTTGGTGTCATACATCAGGGACACCACTATCATTTCATCTCTTCTGGATACAGACCCATGCCTAGTTGCCAGCGTAACAGCTTGGAGGTGGGAGAAGTACGAGTGAGCCCAATATTCCTTATCTTTTGGTTACTCCAGAGTAAAAGCCAACTTCTCAGCCAGCTGACCGTAACCCTAGTGTGGCCATTGACCTGGTGGCTCCTAGGCTTGGAGGGATCTTTCTAACCCCAGGTCCCTACTGCCCATGCAACCCTGGTCCCACAGATAAATGCCACAAAAGCTCAGAGGAGTCGACAGTGGGTTTTACAATAGTCATCTGCTTCATCCACCATGTGTAGAGCCTTTGATGGTGTGTGGCCTGGGTGGGTGTTGAGGACATGGACAGGAGCGCTCTTCCTCGAGCTTCTGTTGCAAGCCATCAGTGCTAGTTTGGCTGCTGGACCACGAAGGTATGATGTGATTATTGGATATTTCAAGTCTGCTGGCACAGAATGGAAAGGAAATGAGCCAAATTGTAGCATAATGACATTGTCCCAACCTCTTCCCTTCCAGTTGTCTTTTAATGCATATCAAGCAAGACAGGGTGGGTGCATCCATCATGCCCTCAGCCTTTGATGCTAACTCCCACCTGAAGGACAAGAGGTGAGAGCCTGGAAATTAAAACTCCCATGCAAACCTCGCACGTGATCAAAAGCCATTTTGAAGCCGGTTCATGGGCTTAGTGACACGAATCCAACTGAGGGCACTGTCAGAGCAAACCTAATACTGTATCTCAATAAATCGCTCTGGGTTGGGCACATCTCCATTGAACAGAAAGGCACAGCGTTCAGCAAACTTGGTCCAGATGCTCACAGAGCCTCTCTATTGCTATGGCCATCAACCACCTGAAGGACAGCAGAGGCTGGAAGTCACATTCCTGTGGTTCAGGCGCTTTGGCAGGGAGGGAGTTTACAAGCCCATCTGGACCTTCTACTTATCCAAATCCTTCAGCCTCCAGGACTCTGGTGGTTTCCACTCAAGGTCCCTCTCCACAAAAGGCAGGAACCAGCTGCAGGGACCTTCTCCTTGGCAGAGGACATGTGCAAGCGGGATGTGATGCAGTGGAACAGTGAACACAGGGCAAAAGAAAACTAACCTTTATTTCCAGAGGCATGGGAGATGAAGGGGGCAGGAAATAGCTGAGGAAAACCCACCGAGGACTGGCTTTCTCCTCTTCTCCTCAAGTTTTCCTCCTCACCTGTTGGCATGGGCCACCAGTGTTCCAGCACAGAGCAAAAGCTTGGCCTCCCCTCGTATTTCAGGGACTGGGACAGGGTCAAATGGAGGTTGAAATTATGAGAAACAGGAATAATAACAAAAATAACGCCAGCAGATTTTGGGCAGCGAGCCAGGCACCCCTGTGCAACCTGCCTGGATCCAGCCAGCCCCTCCAGACTTGGGCTGATTGGGTGCATCCAAGCTGGGGAGCCCAGAGCCACGTGCACTGAACCAGCCCAATGGAGCTCCAAGCTCAGGACTGACCCTATCTGGGTGCTACCCACGCCAGAGCAGTCCCACACAGGGCTGGGGTGGGTGCCCCCACTGCCAACCCCATGCAGTACCCTCTTCGAGCAGCATCTCTTCTGCCTGCCTCATCCCCACCACTAAAAAAGCCACTCGGCACAGCCTGGGATCAAGTGTACGTTTTTATTTTTTAATGGAACATAAACTCCTTTAGAAAAAACATTCATCTGGATGATAACACCCATAGAAAAAAAC